TTACCAAGTTTGTGGCGTATAAAACTTATGACATGTATAAGTCGTGTTTAATCGTATTTATATCATTATTAATTAAGTTTGTATTGATTCATTTATTTAACAAATTTGCTATTTATTGTAAAAATTTAATTATGTTGTTGGATTCGCGAATCGTGTGTAAAATCACCACAGTTCTCATAAGCTTCGAATGAGTTTATTAGACCATACATTATCTCTCTATAAGAAGATTATGGTACCGTTTTGGGTATCATATTAAAAATTATAATTTTTTAAAATAAAGTTACAATTTTTTAAAAATATAAGTTACAATTGAAAAAAACAATATGATCGATTTCAAATATTATGATTGATCATGAAAATTTTAATTTTTAACACTCAAATTATAACTCGTAAAAAAAAATTATAAAATTTTGAGATCATTTTAGATCGATCATGAATAATTTTAATTAATTGTAACTTCATCTTTAAAAAGTATAACTCGACCTTGGAAATGGGAGAAAGGCTATAAAATTTATAACTTTTTGAGGTGTGAATTACAAATCCAAAAAGCATGATCGATCCCAAAATATAATGATCAATTATAAAAGTTAAAATTTTATAGTTTAAATTTACAGCTTGCAACTTATTTTTAGTTAATTTATTATTTATCACAATATTTTCACATTGATCATGAATTACATTAATCAATTATAATTTTTTTTAAAAAATAATAAATTTATTTTTTAAAATAGTAACCTTTAATATGATACCAATTTTTATTTTTATTTTTCGGTACCATAAAATTACCCCAAAATGGACTACTTATAGACACAATGTATTAGGAAATTCACACGAATTTTCCAAACTTGTGAGAAATAACAATAGAGAAAACACACGTCAAAAAAAAATAATCACACGCACAAGATAATATTTACGTGGTTTGGCAATTTGCCAACATCCACGAAGCTGTAGGGGTTTCGATCAAAAATAAATCAAAAACACTAAAATTAAAATATTCATAAAAAATAAATTCATCCTTATCTAACTCTAAAAATTTATTAAAATTCAAAACATCAAGACTGATACTTATTGCCTATGAAACACGGATACTTCATCAAGGTCGACATACCCGTATCGGATACAATACTCGTCGGATACTCGATGATACGTATCAAATACGCATCATCCGTATCCGATAATTAATAAAATATGTGGATACTTCGCGGATATTTCTAAACATGAAATAAGATGTAAAATTTTTAATTTTAAGTTATACCCGTTCTTTGGAGTTCACATACAATATAAAAAATCAACAAAATTCCATTTGATTTTGAAGACACGAGTGTTTTTTTTAATATTATCTATTATTAAATGTTGAAAGAGTATAAAAAAAAATGAATCACTTACACTATACTCCCTCCGTTTTTAAATATCTGTCGTTTAAAATTTTTGCACAGAGATTACGAAATCTATTAAATAGCTGTAATATGAGTAAAAAATAATTATACAAGACTAAAATACTCTTATTTAATACGTATTGGGAAGGAAAACAAATATGAAAGAAACTTAGCCTCTACCTAATTTAATGCATTGAAAAATTAAGGATAAATTTGGAAAAAAAAAATATTTCCTCCGTTTCTAAATATATGTCGTTTAAGTTTTTTGCATAGGGATTAAAGAAGCTATTAAATAGCTCTAATATGAGTAAAAAATAATTGTACAAGACTAAAATACACTTATTCAATACATATTGGGAAGAAAAGAAATATGAAAGACACTTAACCTACACTTAATCTATTAAGCATTTATTGGAAAACAGATATAAAAGTAAATTTGAAAGAAAAAATATTAATTATGCTTTGGTTTCATAAAACGACAGAAATTGTGGAACAAAAAAAATTAGGTAAAACGACAGATATTCAGGACCGGAGGAAATATTAATTATGTTTTGGTTTCATTAAACGACAGATATTATGGAACAAATTTTTTTTTGTAAAACGACAGATATTTAGGAACGGAGAGAGTACTTTTAAAAATAAATATTTGTAAAACCAACTAGTTAAATGTGATTATAATTCCTTCAATTGGTCATGCTCATTTTATGAACATATCATAATTAAATGAAATTACATCATTTTTATGTTAAAAATTCATAATTTTACTTATTAAGGTTAAAAAATTATTAAAAAATTATAATTTCTAAGTCGTTAAATAATAATAAAATATATATTATTATAGATGTATCATGGCTGAATCCATATTCTATTTTTTAAAATTTTATTATATCACCGTATTTATATCGTATCGTATCTATATCAGATATCCGTATTCGTCCTTCCAATCTTATTGCCACTTCAGCCACCGTGACCTTTCACAGTTGCACTCACTGCTCATCAAAGCCCAACGTCTCTTTCCATAAGTGACAGCTGCACTCAAATGTAGGCAGCAGGTTATAGTTGACAAGGTTTCCAGTCCACCTCATTGACTAATGGGTCCCATTATGTGGAAATTTTATTTTTATCTACCATATATGCTTTTAAATTCTCTTATTTTATTTTTTTTATGATTAATGTCTAAAAATAAATTAAAATATAATTTAAAATTTAGAATTATTATTAAGTACCATAGCAAAAAAAAAAAAAAATTTACTCTAATCTTATCTTTAACAAAAAACTTAAGAATTTTTTAGAATGTCAAAATATGTCAATATAACCCTCTTTTAAATTATTTGTCATCGTGTTGAAATAATAGAATTCTATAGATTAATAAATAAATAAATTTTACATGAATAATGTTTTCTTTAGAGTATGTCTCTAAAGAAAAAATGGCTGGTCTTAGGGGTGTGGGACGTGTTTATACGCTTTAATTCCCACGCGGGTTTATCTGGATATCTCCGTAAACGTCTATCGTCTAATACATATAGTCCATCTCCGGTTCAAACAGGACGAATTTGGATGAATATTCATTTTTATTCGGTTCACTATTATCCCTAGACGTGATCTTCTGCCGGCTAAGAGAAGAGGTTTTATCCTATGCAGAAATTTGATGATCTCCCGGCAAGACCCAAGTTCTTTGAGCGATAGAACAGTAGTAGTACAATTATACAAGTATCAAAATCTCTTTATGGTGCATAATTTCGTTTAGCTTGGAGAAAAAGTCTGCAAAAGTCTCAAGTTCATTTCGCTTCACACCTTATTATCCACTTTGCTTAAAACAGCCTCCAGATCATGGTCTTGTGGTCTAATAGATGAGAATATTGATACCCAACGACAACTTGCTCTGTTTTTTTGTTTGGTTATCACACCAGTTTCCATGGTCGTTCGTTCTTAAGCCTACTAATCGTGGTGCTCTTTCTTCTCCTGTGCGAGGCTCATGCGTGAAACAATACTGAATTCCAATCTCCTTCCTTTAACTAGTTAACTCTGGACTTTTGTGTCCAGTGAGCATCTTTCATGTCTACCAGATTATCCAACTCTGCAGTGTCGCCAACACAGCTTTCAGACTTTTTACTTTTGAATTGATAAAATTGAATGTTAATTTGGTGTTATATGATTATAACTCATTGGGGGTATGATTATAATAGGGGTTAGGGTTACAATTCATGGTGATATGGTTAAAATCTTTTTAGGGTTATGTTTACCATTCTTGGGGTTATGGTGTACAAACTCTTGAAGGTTTCAAATCACAAATGAATACAAATTTATCAACTCTACTAATTACGTTTTCCCTTTAAAATATCAAAAAGCACACGTGCCGGTCTCTTATTAAAATAAGCTTTCANGCTATGGTGTACAATCTCTTGAAGGATACAAATCACAAATGAATACGAATTTATCAACTCTACTAATTACGTTCTCCCTTTAAAATATCAAAAAGCACACGTGCCGGTCTCTTATTAAAATAAGCTTTCAATACAGTACCGAAAAGCGTTGTGTTGGTATCGTAGCCTACTTCTCAAAGGAATTGTAAATTGAGCTTGAATTCGATTTATTTGATAAATAAGCAATTTTAACAAGCTTTTGTTCAAATAGATCTCAAGTTATTCATCAATAGTTCCCTTTATGCTTGATCCCTAGTTGGCCTTTATTAATGGTCCTCTCANTCCTCAAAGGAATTGTAAATTGAGCTTGAATTCGATTTATTTGATAAATAAGCAATTTTAACAAGCTTTTGTTCGAATAGATCTCAAGTTATTCATCAATAGTTCCCTTTATGCTTGATCCCTAGTTGGCCTTTATTAATGGTCCTCTCAATTTCTTTTAGTCCACGGCTGCTGGATAGACAGAAGTACTAAATCACTTTCGATAACAAAAAAAAAAAAGTGAAAAAGTTTTGATATATGAAACCACAAGGAAGATACTAAAAAGACAAGACTTTTCTCACTTCTTACTTTTGAGGTAGGACAATTTACAAACAATAAAGTTACATGAGTTTGCTTTTAAGCAACTACATGGCTCTGTGATCGTCTTGGTCTTTCCCATAACTAATGAAGGTAAAGTGGCGAACAAAAAGGGGCAATGTTACTTTTCCCTTGGAAAAGCAATCCCAATGACAAAAAGAGTATGAGTTAAGTTAGAAAAATGCTACACAACTCAAACGAGATTCAAAACGTATAACTCAAATATTTGTCTTACATCATTCTTTAGATGATTGTTGAATGAGTGAATTCAATTGAAAACATTAATAAAACTCGCTCATATAAAAAATGATATGTATTTAGATTGTAATTTTTTGAATTTCATTTGAGTTGTGTAAAATTACTCTATAGGTTGTAAGTCTGGTTTTCATTTGAATTCCACACAAGTTTGTGACAAAATTGTATATATTAGTATCCTAAATACCAAAATAAAACAAATCATAATTATATAATTGTAATTACGGTTTACTGAGGTTTAGTAAAAGATTATTATGTCGTGATCGTAGTGGATGAGTCAAAATTTTGACACTTGGTAAAAAAATGTTCAACTGTCGTTCTTTATTGGAGTCGATAATCACCAAAGGAAGTTCAAAACAATTGCTTGATTTTGAAAACCTTTAATCACAGCTCTATGCAGATATGAAGAATCACAATGTACAATGACCCATATCAACTCAATGTCGAAACAAAAAGGTTCATAGACACTCACATGATCGACAAATACAACGTTGTCTCAACTTTTACCGGAGTCTGGAACCCTACTTGAGGGAAATTTACATGAACTGTTGGAGAAATGCCACCCTTCCTGTCTATGTAATGGGTCCTCAGTATACATTTCAAGGAATCAGGGAGATTACCCAACATAATATACACGTAGGTGTTCAACCAACATACGATGACCTCAATTTCATACAATGATAAATTGTTCAGTCATAAATCACATGCCTTATACACCTGATTTCTACGTTTGCTCCTCCAGAATTGCACTACTCTGGCACTAGCACAGAAGGAAGCTATACAGACTGCGACTGGTGCTTACTAACTGAGATACCCAACTGCTTGTTCTCACATCCACGTCTCCTGCTAGTTAAAACCAATACATTTGTTGCATTAAACCTCATGAAATGAACCCTCAACAGCACAATTAGTCAATTCTTTAGTCAGAATACCAGAGGCAGACTGAACGCCAAGGTCTTTTGCTAAGCCAACACAAGCTTTACTGCAAAAAAAATGTAGATGCAACTCTATTTGCATGACGGAAGCACAAATGATAAGCATACAAATAGCCCTGTCCATTTACATTTAACGTAAGAGTATGCATGAGAGCAGGGAGTCATATGACTAATTCTAAACAGAGAAAATTGGCATCTTTATATATCTCATGAGAAATACGTGCATTCAATTACTCCGATGCCTCCCAATCGCAGGGTAGCTAATGTGAGTGTAATGTACACTAAAATAAAAATTAACCCTCTACTGGATCATATTACAGCAATGCATTTTAATAGCAAAATCTTCAAGTCTATGACTATTTATTCATTGGAAACAAAAGGATATCAGTAGAAGGCAAGTAACACGATTCTCCCACCATGATATCAGCAGGATATCAACAAGGAAAATTAAAGTTCCACCACAACTGAAGAATGACAAACTGACTCATTATTTCTGTGTGCCCATACGCTTCATCTGAGAAGTGACCTTGTCAAATGTTCACGTGCAGTAGCCAAAGCCTGAGTTATAGTCTGCAGTTATCACATCATCACATGGGTTAGATTAACACCAAAAGAAGGGAAGATAAGACGAACACAGAAAGAAAGATCAACAAGAGGATTATGGCGAAGCAAGACCAAAGATATGAGTTGCATTACCTGCTCAGACAAGGGTGCCCCGTCATCCATACTATGGGTTGCTACTTTTCCAGCAATAATACTGCCGTCAGTTTCAAGAATCATCCTACCACACATAATAAAGTGAATCATTTCTTGAACATGAAAACTGTTTGGATAAAAAGCAAAATATAGAAAATGAATCAAGAGTGAATGATATGGACTATATCAGAAAGTCAATCCTCTATGAACAAACATGACATGGCACTTGGAGGGACACATTTTATTGTAATTTACATTGAAAACCAAGAAAGATATATTAGAATGAAGCAAACACCTTTTTTTTTAAAGGTTGCTTAATCTCAGTAGGGATGAGGCAAATGCATAATCGGCATTAAAAGATTTCAATTAGACACTTTCTAGGTCTATCTATGGTGGGCTAAGATCAGCTATGCAATAACATAAAGTATAGGCATCTCATGGTATTCTAATCAAACTAACTATATCTGATTTGTAAATGTGTTTTGTTGGCAAACAGGCAACGACGTATGCTAAGGGGCTGCAAAGAAGAATTGCTCAGCTTCAACACGGCAACATTACTTTTGATAAAGACAAGGAAGAGTTCTGATTAACCAAATCTAGCTGTGTAAAATATTACATAAGAAAATCAAGAACGCCACTATTTATAAAGGATGGTAGTAAAATAAGAAGCATATTCCCTACCCTCCATCAACAATTTCATCAAGGCATAAGAGAATCAAATCTAAGTTCTCAAGTGCCTCCCTTTGTTCAACATTGTTCCTGTAAAAAGGGCATGCTAGATTATACGGTATACAAACATAAAAGAGGACAGCATCATATAGAAATTAAAAACTAAAGCCAAAATTATGACCAATAAAACCTGAGAAGAAGGGTAACTGCATCAAAGAACCCCTGGAGAACTGTGGCTAGTATTAGTTCATTCTCATCATCTCCTCCAGTCACAAAGAAGTGAAGATCTTGGACGAACTTATAGATTATAATGTTATTCTCTAGCATTGCAATCTCCGCTGTAGATCAACACATCAAGAGATCTAAACAACGAATGTCACGTAATTGGCTTCGCACAACACTAATAATCATAAAACAATAATATTGTTTCCAGAGTTCAAATGTACTTTTCTCTTACATGTATCGATAAGAAAGAAATTAAACCCATGATTGTTGTGTCAATTATCTCATTCGCATTCAATAAAAAATGATTTTTTTTCCTAGCAAGTTGCTAACACTTGAATTTAACATCGAATTATTAACTAGCAACACAATCAGCAAGGTGAAGAAATAATACATATTATTCTGTAAGTTCAAGATCACCAAAAGAAATGTCAAACAATGGGGAAAATAGAACTACCTTCAGTCCGGGCATTTGTCTTCTGAGTTTTGACAAATACAGACTTTTCAAAAGCTAATTTTGCACTTTTTGTTGGCCAATCATCCGAGTAGTACTTAACCGCTACGCGCTTTCCTTCTGAATCCAGAAGAAGAATGTTTTTCACGGTAGGGCAGGCCTCCTATGAAAACCCGATCATAACCACATCATTACCGTATACTCATTTCAATTTCCAGTGCATGAAACTAGAGATAACGCATCTTTGTGTAACAAATATGTTGGAATATAAACCAAATCAGCCAATTATATGTTTATTTGGTAATTATAAGTGAATATGTACCAAGAATTACAAAGTCTTCTTGGATTCAAGAACATGTGGACGCTAACCAAATATTGAAAATCAAGGGTTTTTGCTTCTTCTTTTTTCCTTGGATCTTCTTTTGTTCTATTTCGTTTCCGTCTTCTTGCGATTTGTTTGTTTGTTTGTTGTCTTATTGAATTGTGTATGCTTACTCTGAAAAATTATTTAGAGGAACAACACAATTATTACATGTGAATTGAGAACACCAAAGATATAATTAATCCATCTTAATACCGTAGATCACTAATCAAACATGCATTTGAATGAGAAAAAAAATTGCAGTCACATATATTTCTCAAATTTGACAAAAAGGAGAAATGCAGAGAGAGAGAGAGAGAGAGAGAGAGACGTACGCTATGGATTGAGAAGTTCGCCATAACCGGACGCGATCCCCAGATCTGTGTACTGATGGTCACCGGTGATGTGAAGCAGTAGAGATCTGGTGGCTTTTCTCCGATCTGGATATTTATACTTTGGTTGAAACCATACATTGGATCAAATAAACCCAACCCAACAAGCTTATAGGCCCACAATATGGCCCAACAAGCCTGTTAGGCCTGTTAACATATCGAATTTTAATCCGAATTAAATCTGATTATTAAGATATNGTAACCATACATTGGATCAAATAAACCCAACCCAACAAACTTATAGGCCCACAATATGGCCCAACAAGCCTATTAGGCCTGTTAACATATCGAATTTTAATCCGAATTAAATCTGATTATTAAGATATAATTGATTATTTTTGGGTTAATTGCACCGAAGGTCCCAAAGTATGAGTTTATCTCATTTTATTCTCTAATATTTTAATTGCATCATTTTCAGTCCCTGAATACTTAATATATTTTTATGTGGTCTCTCAAACAGACAACGTTCAGATTATTAACAATTTTTGATTAAAAACTTGTTATGTGATACATATATATAGAGAAAAAAATAATTTTGATAACTTTTAACCAATTGGTTACCCAAATTTTGGACAAAAAGTTACCCAAATTACACATTTTTGATCATGAACTATCCAAATTTTGGTCAAGAGTTATCCATATTACACATTTTTTGTCAAGAGCTACCCAAATTTTGATCAAGAGCTACTCAAATTATTTTTTTCTCATATTTAGGTATCACGTAACAAGTTTATGATAAAAAATCGTTACCAATTTAGATGTTGTCTGTTTGAGAGACCACATAGAAACATCTATATAATAAAATAGTTTACAATTCAAATCTCAAAAGATAAACAAAATGACTTTTGCTATTCGCGGTTGAGATCGCTTTAAATTTTACTTTAAAATTAATATAACGGTTAATATTAACACCCTAAATTTAATAGAAAAAATAAGACCTTAATGGTGTGTTTGGAGTAACTTTTTAAAAGTACTTCTAAAAATTATTTCTTATAAATACTTTTAAAAAAAAATAATGATTGAAATCGCTCCACCATTGCCTTTACCACCACCGCCGCCGCCGCCAGCACCACCCCCACCACTGTTGCCACCACCACCGCCACCGTCACCATCGTTGTTGCCCTCGCCGCCACCACCACCACTACCACAGTCATTGCCACCCACCAAAATCATCACTGTCTCTTACCACCACCATCCCGGTCGCTCACCACTATTCGTCGTTGCCCTCGCTGTCACTACCGTCGCCACCGCCACCACCATTACCGCCCGCCACCTCTCACCCCCACTACAAAATCGATACTTAAATTCATTTATTTTTTCTCTATGTTTATGATTTGATTTTGGATATGAATATAAAAATATTTATTGTTTACCAAATTTTATTACTATGTGCCTTCAGGCACAGAAAATTACTAGTATTCAATATTTCATGGATCAAAATGATGCAATTGAAATATTTAAGACTAAAATGAGACAAACTCTATATTTTAAAAATCTCTAATACAATTAACCATTTTTTTAATCCACTATATTATTTTTCTTGGATTCAAAATTATCAATATTCGATCCAACTAGTATTCAATCCAAATTCTAAGTAAATATATAAAACTTGCGTTTGACGTAACTTCTTAAAGTAAAAATTCATTTAATGAATGGATTTTATAGGATGGACTTTTAAAAATTATTAGACGTTTGGTGAACATATACTTTATAAGGAGGCTTGTCAATCGTGTTGGGTAAGGCGGGTTCATATCGAATTTTAACAAGTTCGTGTCAAAAATATTTTATACATAGCCGATTTTTTTGTTAATTAGTGTCTAATGAATCGTATAATATCGGGTTTGTGTTGTGGATAAACTGTGTATAAAATTGGCATATAAATAAGTCATGTAGCATATTTCTTTTGATTGATTTCAATCATACCTGAATCGTTTATTAATTGTGTCATGTGGGATCCACTCGTTTACTAAACATGTGGTTTAAGGAAGACTCAAACTCTCTAATTTTGTATAGTGTTAATGGGTCATATCATATTTTGACATCCCTATTTAGAAGTACCATAGAGTAAAAAATAATATATATATAACAATGTCACACTTAAACTTGATTTTGAATTTCCTTTGGTTATTTATTAAATTAAATGATCTGAAAGTTAAAATATACACACAAAAAATAGAACAATAAAACTTAAACAACTATGCATAATAATTAAAAAGATTCGGGCATTGTCATATCAAAATCCATTCAAAAATTCAATGTAATGTGATAAAATTATGGGTATTTAAATTTTCGATTGGCCACAATTTCCTACCCTACCTGACTTTACCTTACTCTACTGAATTACTAGCTACAAAAATCGGGTAGGAATGCAGAATACCTATCAATTTTCGCATTCCTACCCTACCCTACCTGCAAAAAATATATTTAACTTCTTATATTTTTTTAGTAATTATAAGAGTATTTATGTGGTATAATTTATATTATAACATTGTTATTATTGTGGATATTTGAGTTGTTAAAACATGAACTGTTTTTGTGTGTAGATTACATGATTTGTGGTTAATTAGTGATCTATTGGAGCAGTTATGATTTTAATGTATTTCATATGGTTTAAACTTAAAATAATTGTTATTGTATTTGTATAATAATTATGATGAATTGATGTTCATATTTTCTTGTGTTTTATTGTAATTGTTGTTGTAATTGTTTTAGATTTTAGTGTTATTGATTTATTGTTTTGTTAAATTGATACATGTTATTTAATTAAATTGTTAAATTGATCCAAAAATTAATAGCTACAAAATGTTTATTCGACTTCTTACCCAATTAATCGAGTAGGAAATCAGGTAGGAATACCACAGCTGATCGGATAGGGTAGGCCAAGAAAATTTTTTTTTGCAAAGTATCGGGTGGGAAGACGAAATAATATATTTCCTACCCGTAGGGTAGAGTGAACACCCCTAGATAAAATTAAAACTATTCAGGAAAAGATTGAAAAAAATGAAGCACAAAAATGTAATGCATCTTATCATAACTAATTTAGAGCTTTCCTAGCCACTATAATCTTTTCTTTTTTTTTTTTATCTTTTTTTTCCTAAAAATAGGTTTGATTTGTTTCACCTATAATAATTTCTACCAATTAATTTGTTAAACAATTTTTAGTCTTGAGGATGCTAAAAAGCTAATTCACCTCTATGAGAAAAATAGGTTCAACTAAAAATCAGATAAGATCGTTATGCTTCAAAAGAATGAATAGGTTATCAAATGAGAAAAATTTATTCGGAAAAAAATAAAGTTATATAAGTCATAATCATTAAACAATTGAGAGTAGTAAGGGAATTTCATTTAATTACTTAAACTACGCAGTGTTATTAGAACCGGATCGGATCGGTGAACCAGAACCTTCAACGGTCCAATTTACTAAAAAGACCATTTGGGTACCGTTTGAGAACCGGAAAACCGACCAATTTTGGACAAAAACTAGTGAACCGAAGACCAAAAAAACCAGCAGTTCAAAACCATCCTTCATCTTCTCCATGATCTGGTGTGCCGTCGTCTTCTCCAAGATCTGGTGTGCCTTCATCTTCTCCGAGGCTGATTACCCTTCGTCTTCTCCAAATCAACCTTCATCTTCTCCAAATCAAGCACTCGAACAGCAGCACATGACACCACACCATAGACACACACGGTAATGGAGTAAGCACTCGAACAACCTTTGTCTTCTCCCATCTCTCTCTTTCTTTCTCTCATTCTCTCTCTCCATGCATACTCACAATAATGGAGTAAGAGATGTTGGGCTAGTAAGAGATGCTAGGCTAGTATTGTCTTTGTCTCTCTCTCTCTGTCTACATGCGCACACACACAAATATAGACAATAATTTAATAAACACCCCCAACCAACAATCAAAACACCCAACACACATATTATACTATTTATTTTTTTATTGTGATTATGAATTTTTTAATAAAATTATTATATTATATATATTTTTTATTTTTTTATTATAAGACCGGTCTGACAAGTTGACCCAATGGTTGAACCAATGAATCATTAACCCGATTCTTTTGTTGGTTCGATGTCCGATCCGATTCTAATAACATTGAAACTACGTAATAGACTTCTTGAGAAGTCAAAACGCCTAGTTTTCAGAAGCTTTCTATGTAAGCTTCTCCAGATGCTCATTTAGTATATGCGCTTTTTATCCAAAAGTCAAACGTGTAGCTCACTAAACAGTCCACACTTTTCTAAATGGACTTGCTTGCTTGAGAAGTTCATTTTGAAGGCACACCAAACACACCCGTATCATGTAATAATTTAGTAGTGATAATTGTAAAATGGAGTTAATAGTTTAAATGTAATTTGCTAAGATAAATTCTAATTTAGTTAGAGGCATCCAATGGGACATTTGGATAAGATATAATTTGTAAAAACTAATAACAAAATGGTAGAATTTTTAATTGAATCGAGTTGGTCAAGTTTTGAGAATATTCATATTCATTTTGGTTGTGACTAGTCGATTTTAACTGCCAAGCTTAGAATTTTGCTCAAAACATCGCTCGATACCAGTTTATTAAGTGTTATGGCAGTCTTAGACACTATTTGAGAATCCAATCCAACAATTAATAAATCAACGTAGAATTAAGATGTTTGAGTTTAGCTTTAATGAATTTAGGTGGTAAACGAGTATGTATACCCTTCAAATAAATGGGTTAACATGAACCTAGCTAACCGTGATACAAACCTGACTCAACGTGACTTATAGATGCCACAAACTTGGCACAGCACAAATTCAGACGAGATTCTAATTACATCTAATATGAGTTGGTGTCATCCTATAACTTTTGCTTAGCCCAAACATTGTAGTTGGTGCCATCCAACACAATCTCTACAAGGCAAGCCACACCATTTAGAGAAGTCACAGTAAAAAGTGGTCAGATCATGTTGAAAACTCATCAGGAAAAAGTCAGAGGAGTGGTAGCTAGTTGTCATAAAAGTCGCCGAAGCAAGGCAGAAGTCACAAAAAAATGGCCGAAAATTTGTCGGAGGATGGTCGAAAGGTCGTTAGATGATGGTTGGAGTGGATTGGATCGTGTCGGAGGACAACTGATGGTAGATCAGAAACATTGCTGGAGAATGGTTGAAAGAAAATGAGTCTCAATAGTTCTAATGTGGAAGATCCTTGTATGGCAACTACATAATATACTATCATTGACCAAAAGGATTTACGATAGGCTCTGATATCATGTAAAATAAGAGAATAGAAAACAAATATCAATTGTATATNAAGGATTTACGAGTCTAGGCTCTGATATCATGTAAAATAAGAGAATAGAAAACAAATATCAATTGTATATTACTTTGATATATTTTATTATATACATGAGAAAGTATATTTATCATATAAAGGAACTAGTTTACTGTCTGTACTTTAAGGCACAGAATAATTAAAAAAATGGTCAACAATAAATATATTTATATTCACACTCAAGATCAAATTACAAATATAGAGCAAAAAAAAGAATTTAAGCACCAGTTGTAGTGAGGGTGAACAATGGTAGTGGTGGTGGTGGGAGACGGTGATAGTTGTAGTGAGTGGCGACGACCGTGGTGATGGTGACATTTATGGGTGATAATTGTAATACTAATGGTGGATTTNGTGGTGGTGGTGGGAGACGGTGATAGTTGTAGTGAGTGGCGACGACCGTGGTGATGGTGACATTTATGGGTGATAATTGTAATACTAATGGTGGATTTTTGGCAACGATGGTGATAGTAACAGTCATGGGTGACGGCAGTGGTGGTTGTGGGCGACGGTAATGGTGGTTGACAATGGTAGTGGTGGGGCGACGGTGGTGGTGGGCGACGACGAGTGCTTATGGACGACAATGTGATGGATTGTAGTAAATAACGGTGGTAGTGGTGGTAAGTGTGGTGGGGATGGCGACAGTGGTGGGCGATGACGATTGATGGTAGTTGGTGGTGGTGAGTTTGATGGGGGTAGGTGACATTGACTGGCGATGATGGGTGGTGGTGGGTTGTGATACTGGGGCAACGATGAGTGATGGTGAGAAACAATGATAGTGGTGGGTGTTGACGATAGGCGACAGTAATAATGGTAATAAATATACGAATGAGATAAAAATTATGGTGGTGGTTGTGGTGGACGACGGTAATAACTATTGGTGGTAGGGAAGCAGCGGGAATGGTGGTGGTGATAATGGGGGGTGGGATGACGACAATAGCGATAACGACGGTGGTGGTGAGATGACGACAGTAACGATAGCGACAGTGGTGGTTTTGGTGATAGTGGTGATAAGGTTGTGATAGTAGTGGTGGTGGGACGGTTGGTGTAGTGGTGTGATAGTGGGGTGGCGGTAGTGGTGAATCGGTTCTAAATACTATCTTTTTTAAAGTATTCACAAGTAATTATAAGTTTTAGAAATATTTTTAAAAAGTCACTACAAACACATTCTTAAATGTCTATTTTCTTTATTAAATTTGAAGTATTAATATTAGCCGTCGGATTAATTTTAAAATAAAATTTAAAGATATCTCAATAGCAAAAAATAAAAATTATTTTATTTATTTCACTATCTAAAGGATAATATACATTTAAATTTAAATTTTTGNTATTAAATTTGAAGTATTAATATTAGCCGTCGGATTAATTTTAAAATAAAATTTAAAAATATCTCAATAGCAAAAAATAAAAATTATTTTGTTTATTTCACTATCTAAAGGATAATATACATTTAAATTTAAATTTTTGTATTTTATTTGAGTTAAATAATATTTTTTTTATTGTATAGATAGTGAGATATCATAATCTAATCGATGGGACAAACACATAAAAACAAACATGCATAACCTTAAATAGCATGTGAATTTGTGCACTCACTGGTCAAAAATCCCAACGTCTTTTTCTCCAAGTGACAGCTGCCCTCAAATATAGGCAGGTTATCGTTTACTCGGTTCGCAGTCCACTCATTGACTCCCATGACGCCATCATTGGCATAAGTTTTTTTTTTTTTTTTATTATTTATTACCATCAATCATCATACATAATAATTCAAATAAAATTTATAATTTAAAATTATTTTATTTTATAATACTAATCATAATTCGTTCTTGAAAACACGATAAAATATAAAATTCGAGCGTTCAAAAAATCGATTTCATTATATTAATTTTTTTTTAAAATATATTAACTACAAATTAATCAAAAATTAAATAATTAAATATATGATAAAAATAAGTGATGTAATATTTAAAGGGAAAAAATATATAAATGATTAAACATATGATAAAAATAAGTGATACGATTTGACGTTTGAGTCTTACAAAGGGATGATGAGTGAAGTAAGTGATTGATAATGGTTTTGAGAAAAAAAATATGATTAAGAAAAAATTCAAACATATTTTTATTTTATTAAATAAATAATATCAAAAATATCTTTGTAGGTTTCTTGTCCTTTACTAAAAGCTACACAACAGTACAGAAATATATCGAGGTAGCCCTCTTCTGACACTACTAGAAAATTATTTTCATCCGCATTTTGATTTTGAGATGTCCCTAGATAGTTAGTATACAAATAATAAAATTTGATGCAATAATAAAATAAATAAACCATCTCTACTACCAAACCACCGTTGCAGTATCAATATCATAACTCCGATTTAGAGCCATCAATGTCCACTGTATATCGTACATATCTACTTAGTTGATGATATGATTAGCCATGAAGACTCTTTAAACACATCAATTTGGCAAAACAAGTGCAAAAATTCGATTAGCTCAAAAACAAAAATATGTAAAAAAAAAAAAAAAAAAAAAAGGGATTTGGACATGCTTGTATCCATACATTGATATACATGCTTCACCAAAGCCCAACAATGAGATGATTGAAAAAGTTATTCCTATTCCAAATACTCAACAGAGATACTACATGAGTTCCTCAAGCAACCAAATTTAAGCTTAGTGAATACTCAAAGCACTTCATTGAGACACAGGGAAAAACACAAGGGTATGGACATACAACCCAATTAGCCAAAAGTCCATAGCTCTGGTCGACATGTTAATAAAACCTAATGCATATCAAAACCCAAACAGTCAAATCATGAGAATACATCCCCAGTAAGAATAAGATCAAACGACGCAGATGATAATGTAGAATAATTGAGTTAGACCTAATAAGTTACACCAAGGCAATGCTGCTCTCGCCACCAGGGGGCTTGCGAACCCCACCAAGGTAGTCCCGAGATTCTGCCTTTCCATCAGCAAAGATGTTACTGCCACTCATCTCTCGCAGCTTTGCCAAACTGAGAGGTTTCTCTGCAGATTGTGGAGGAGCATCTCCCTTGAAAATGTCATTTCCTGACAGCTCAGCAAATTTCTGGTTCGGGATCTTCTTTGCTGTCTTGACGATAGGTTCTTCATTGAACATGTCATTACTCTGAGCTCCAGAAGACTACACAATTAACGCGGTTGAAAACTCATCAGATAATAAAACAGTGGAAAAAGCATGGTGAAAACAAGCAAAAATTTCTAACTGCATTAAAGACCATCAGTAGGTCCTGAACAGAAAATGAAAGAATCAATATGACTAGATTGTAGAGAGCCTAACCTAGCATGTCCAAGTATAGCAGGGGCTTTGGGTCATCAAAGCCATATAGGCATGCACCACTATGTAATCTCGCTAAATATGTATGCCGAAATATTAAAGGCATATCACAGTAGAAACTCTAAGTGGATCAAGTTTTTCAATCGACTTTAGTGCATTTTGTAAAGCTATGCACTCTGAACAATGGCATGCTGATATTTCCAAATTTATTTAGAAAAAATTTTACTTTTCGAAGTGCATGATGTGGTGGTAACAGGGAGAACCAAGATAATTCACTCCTATAACCAACATTGTTCACTCACATTAGGGACTTTGACAGATGTGTGTACATTGTGGGGTGCAGGTTCTCCAATGGTTATGCTTTCTCTTAATGCCAACGCACGAGCAGCCAAAGGTCGAGGTCGAATTTCTGGAGGGGGCGCAAAAATGTCATTCCCACTGAGTTCCTTGCACTTAGCATCAGAAAATTGCTTCTTCAACTTTGCCTCAGACTCACTCTCTAGTGTCCCACTTAGCTCACGAAGCTTTGCAACCTCAGCCAATGTAGTGGGCTTCTTAGGAGAAACAGTTTCTTCTTCAGCAAATGAAATCTGACTGATCCCACCAACTGCTTGCTGATGAAAATCCAATCATCAGGAAAAATGAAAATGCAATTGTGAGGTATCACATACCAAATGAATCAAACCGACTGCAAACTGGCCTATTACACAGACTGTGAAGTTGATATCACACAAATCTTTGAAGTAAAACTAATTGATCATAATTTTAAATTGGCCATGTCCAATAAATACCTGGTACATGCGTAATCCGGTTTTGTTAGCGGGGGTAAGATTGGCACTATCAGATTCTAGTGCATCATTGTCTCCACCAGATGCGAAAATACCACTACCAGTTATCTCCTTTAACTTATAACCCGAACAAGGCTTCCTGCATTAGAAAGCTAACAAAGTCAGCAGACTGCAGACACCAATAACTGAGCAAACTGATTAAATGAAAGCGAGGTGAAATTGTGTTGAGTGAATGATTCACATGGTTATGAATATATGCATTTGGCAGTTTTGCTGGCATCAAGCCTTTTGGTACAGCAGAAAACACTGAGATTTCAAAATTCACAAATTTAATGAGCTGTAAAATGAAGACAACAGGTTTAGATTGTAAGTACTTTTATCCTTGAAAATGCAGCACTCTGCTCTGTTATTTTTATGATTCAGTATGCAGATTAGGCCATTTAAAACTGAGGATGTCCCCAACATCTGTTCAGAGGATCATTTGATAAGCAAAAAAGTTAAATGGAAAGACAACATATGCGTTGAATATGATGAAAGTCACAGCCATTNGATAAGCAAAAAAGTTAAATGGAAAGACAACATATGCGTTGAATATGATGAAAGTCATGAAGCATATTGATACAGCCATGAACTGTTTCCGTTTGTAAGGAAGACATGTGATGCCCAAACATTAGCAGTTGGACAGTTCCAACCCATATTTGGTCACAGATTCGAGTCTCCTTTTCCCACTTCCTCGATTAAGTGAGTCATTATTGAGTTAGGTCCAAATTAGTCGAGGTTGCTTCCATGACTGGACTGAATAAAGACCTACACTTCGACATTGCTTTCCCAATTTAGGTGTCCTTATATTTAACTCATTCGAACCCACAACGCTTAAGGTTGCAATGCAAGTCCAACACTTTTACCATTTCACATACCAATTTTAAAATTCAAAAAGCAATAAATCTTTCGAACAGATAACATTGGTTGATCCCAAATTCACACACATAAAAAGCAGAAAAAGAATCAGAACAACCAAATCAAGAAAACCGCTTCTCAATCCCATTATTCTTCGATGACCAAATACGAAGATGAATAAGGAAACAATAATCAAAGCGATGATTTAGAGGTACTTCTAGGTAAATTGTATTAAAAAAATATATAGAAAATAAACATAGCTATGAAACTTTGGTAGGGAACAAGCATAAGCATAGTGAAAACCATGAACAATACAGTCTACAGACATACGTAAGAGCAAACAAAACCAAACAGAAACAAAAAATCTACCATATCAACTTGTGAGGGCATTGCAGGAGAAAATACCAAGAAAAAGTGAAAGGTAAATAATTCCGGATTTTAGGAAAGAGAAAAAAAAATAGGTCAGATCTCTCTCTCACCGTTTATTCAAGCTCTCAACTTCTTCATCTGTGACCTGACCTCCAAACACCACCTTACTGATCCCATCCGACGGCTGTCATTTCACCCCCCAAATCAAATCAAATCAAATCAAAAAACAGAAATCAGATAACGAAATCAAAGAAGACACCGCTAATTGCTTAGCCAGATAAGAACTGACCTGGTGAGAACGGGCCGATGAACGAGCACCTGAAACTGCGGAACCGGTGGCCGCCGAATCCGCAGGCGGAATTTCCGACCAGGTGAGCAGATCTGCTGTGCTAGTGTGAGGCTTTCTCACCGGTGTACTCCTCTCCATTTTTCCTACACACCAAAACCCCCGAATCAGAATAGGAATCGACACAATTCCCCTTCTTCACCCCCACAACACAAACACACACACGCACAAATCAAACTTTTTCTCTCTCCACCCACCAAATGTTATGATCAATCTCCGAAATGACGAGGTTGTCCGTTGTCCTCCGCTCTGTACAACTCTAACTCTCTCTCTCTCTCTCTCTCTCTTCTGTAGCTTGTTGGAACTTGGGAGCTAAGACTAGTAGTGGCTCTGTTCTGGGTTGCCTATAAAAAAGCGTTCACTTTCTCTCTCCGAAACTCAGTACTAAATTTGAATTTTTATTCCGCCTCTGTTAGTTTTTTTTTGGGTTCCTTTACACCCTCAAACTAGGACATTTATGTCATTTTGTCCCCTTAATTATTAACATTTTTACATTATTTCCCCAATTACTTAATTAATTTTATATTGTCCAAAACACAAGAACTATTATTTGGACTTAAAATATTGATATAATTTATTTTATTTTTTTGGTTAGGATATAATGTATTAACTTGATCAATTACAATCATTAAATAAATGGCGAGTCTCAAACAATTAAATCAATATTAGTAATTGATTAAATCAACAAATTAGGTCAACACTTTAAGTCAAAACACAAATTGTATTTTTTTATAGAAAATATCACTGTGTTAAGATAAAATGAAAATAAAAAAAAATAATGTAGTTTGAGAGATAAAATGGAATAACTGTAGTAAAATTTTAATGGGCGTTATTAATTGGAGGAAAATAAAGTTAATAACAATAGTTAAAAAGTATAATATGAAAAATATAATAGTTAAAAGGGTAAAGTGAAATAAATCTCATAGTTTAAAGGTACAAAATATAATTAATCCTCTTTTTTAAATTCTTTTTTGAGGCATGTGCAACCATTGCCATTGACAGCGAAGCACCACCGGCCTCTGTTCTTCTCCATTAACCTTTAGAATTCTATCCTTTTTTGGGTGAGTAACCTTTTTTTTGGTTCTATCGTAAAATTTTCGGATCAATTTATATACATTTTGATTAATTTTATTTTTAATTTGGTTAAAGATAAATCATTCATATTGTGATTAGGATATTCACGAGAGACAAATTCATCATGATTTAACCTCAATGAATTACCAAAATTTGAATCAGAACATCTGAATTTACAACTCGTTTTCATCTCTATTATTGTTTAAACAACCTTTCCGGTTGGATAAGCAACCTTATGAATTTATTGGCAATGACACTTATCAAAATCAGAAGAGGGACCGGCATTTTTAGGAAATTATGCAATTGCCACAATTCTTAAAGTCTAAACTACTTCCTGATGTGTGCTTCCTTCCTCCTAAGGCAAGACTACTTTTCGAAGACAGGTAACTAACTTTGTTATAGATGAGGCAATGTTTTTCTTTTTCTAGCCAACTGAGGAAAAGATCAAATATGGGGTGATGTTTCCGATACGTTACGATCTCTGTTTTTCATTTCCTCCTCTAGAAAAAATTCTTAATCGCCATAAGTTGGGGAAAGATTATAAACATTTCTGCAAATGAATAGGATTAAAACAAAATAATGGAGTTTAGTGAAGTTACCAAAATCTCCCCAGATACCGTAACGAACAACAAGATCTTTTTCATTTTGTGAAGTTACCAAAATCTCCTTCCATTTAAATAAATTAGCAATGCACGACGTAAAAAAAAAAATTTAAAAATTTTTTTTTTATAAAAAAATGTGAATTATTGCTAATTTTAATTATTTTTAAATTAAATTATTAATTTATTTTGTAAGTCTTTGAGTACCTAATCTGTTATTTATTTAGATATCTTTTTGAGCCCTTTAAGTATTTGCTTGTCTAATTATATATTATAAAGTTATTAATTTTTATGTTGTTAAATGATTGATTAAATTACTTATAATATTATTATATTATTACATAACAAAAAATAAAATGTAGCATATATTTAACTGTGAAATTCAATCTTGTAACTACGTGTATATAATAATTTAGTATATATAGGACTTTACTTCTTTATATAAATTTAAAAAATTGTATATAATTGTACTACAAATAAATAAGGTCAAAAATATTTAGAAGTCGTTATAAAATAATCGAAAATAAGTCGAAAGTCAAATAAGAGTAAAAAACAAAAAAATTAGATGAAAGTATATAGTTGAGTATAATTGACTTTATTATAATAATTAAAAATAAAATAATAAATCAAAATTTTTTCGCAGATATTGATATTTATAAGTAGTATAGATTAATACATTCATTGAGATTGATTTTGATCTTTCAAATGATTTAAAGGTGAGAGCTTTATTTTTATTTTTTTTGTATACATGCATAAAATAGATATGCAGATAGGTTAGTACATATATTTGCCAAAAACATTTGTCATTTAGTATTACAAAGTTATTTGTAGGAGATTTTTTTGTAGCATCCATCTGACCACCGGTAGAAAACAAAACGGGTTAATTGCACCGAAGATTCTTAAAGTATAAAATTTATTTTATTTTATTCTTTAATATTTTAATTGTATTATTTTAGTTTTTAAAGTATTGCATATATTTTTATATGATCCATCAAACAGATAACATCCAAATTGCTATAGGTTTTTTTATCACAAACTTGATATGTGATACTTAAATATGGACAAAAAATAATTTTGGTAATTCTTGACCAAAATTTGAATAACTCATTATCAAAATTATGTAATTTGAGTAGCTTTTTAACCAAAATTTGCATAAAATTTTGGTCAAAAGTTATTCAAATTATTTTATTCCTCATATTTAAATATTTTGTGATAAGTTTATAATCAAAGATCGTTAACAATCCGAATTTTGTCTGCTTGAAGGATCATATCAAAATATATTCAATACTTCAACGACTAAAATGATGTAATTAAAATACNTACTTCTTTATATAAATTTAAAAAATTGTATATAATTGTACTACAAATAAATAAGGTCAAAAATATTTAGAAGTCATTATAAAATAATCGAAAATAAGTCGAAAGTCAAATAAGAGTAAAAAACAAAAAAATTAGATGAAAGTATATAGTTGAGTATAATTGATTTTATTATAATAATTAAAAATAAAATAATAAATTAAAAAATTTTCGCAGATATTGATATTTATAAGTAGTATAGATTTATACATTCATTGAGATTGATTTGGATCATTCAAATGATTTAAAGGCGAGAGCTTTATTTTTATTTTTTTTGTATACATGCATAAAATAGATATGCAGATAGGTTAGTACATATATTTGCCAAAAACATTTGTCATTTAGTATTACAAAGTTATTTGTAGGAGATTTTTTTGTAGCATCCATCTGACCACCGGTAGAAAACAAAACGGGTTAATTGCACCGAAGATTCTTAAAGTATAAAATTTATTTTATTTTATTCTTTAATATTTTAATTGTATTATTTTAGTTTTTAAAGTATTGCATATATTTTTATATGATCCCTCAAACAGATAACATCCAAATTGCTATAGGTTTTTTTATCACAAACTTGATATGTGATACTTAAATATGGACAAAAAATAATTTTGGTAATTCTTGACCAAAATTTGAATAACTCATTATCAAAATTATGTAATTTGAGTAGCTTTTTAACCAAAATTTGCATAAAATTTTGGTCAAAAGTTATTCAAATTATTTTATTCCTCATATTTAAATATTTTGTGATAAGTTTATAATCAAAGATCGTTAACAATCCGAATTCTGTCTGCTTGAAGGATCATATCAAAATATATTCAATAATTCAACGACTAAAATGATGTAATTAAAATATTGACGATCAAACTAAGATAAATTTCATACTTTTGAGGACATATGGCGCAATTAAACCAAAATAAAAAGGTTTGTGGACTTGATTGCTAAAAAAATTATAATGGATCGAACTATGACGTCCAAGTTGTATCCTGCCAGTGCTGCCACAGCCACTAAAGCCTACACTTGTTTTTGTTCCATCATTTGGTACATAACCATGTCAGATAATGCAGGTGGACAAAGTACCAAAAGGTGGTAAAGGGCAAAGAATGATGGGCCCAACCATTCACGTGAGCTATCGTGCTATCGTATTCGTATATACCCCTTGCCTGACTATGCTGCTTGATAAAGCTATGCAGTAGAAATAGTCCAGAAAATTTCCACCTCTTTTTTGTGGATGACTCAATCCTATTCTCTAGAGCTAGTAGAGGGACTGCTTAACATTGATGGATTGTTTGTACCAGTAACAAGTCATCAGTCAGCTTGAATAGGAATACTCCTACCCAACTTCAGCAAGAGTTAGGTGCTATATTTAGAGTTCTAATGGCACAAGGCTCTGGGAAATATTTAGGATTACCTATGAAATGGGGTAGATCAAAGAAACAAACCCTCACATGGGTTAAGGTAAGGAGAGGGTCCAAGCAAAGGTGGCAGGCTGGGTTAAGGAGAGGGTCTATTGACTCACTGTCAAATGAGCCAGTGATACTGTTGGTGGAAGTGGGAACCATTCAGGAAGACATCTGCAAGTATATGCAACAGCTCCCTTCAATTCAATTGCGAGCAGTCAAGAGGGACCTGAACTAGGTGGTTCACCTGGTAGCTTCATAAATCAAGAGTGGCACTATACCTATTTATTGGAGTCCTATGCTAACCCACCTGAGGAAATCATGCGACTGCTAAACAAAGAAGCAAGAGAAGGTATTGGGTAGGAGTCCAAAGAAAAGAATAAAAGAAGGTTCTTTAGAAGTTAGAAAAGTCTTGTTCGAAATGTAATAATTCGAATTTGTATCGATCATTATTATCTTAACTCATTTAATTAATTGTGCCAAGTATTTTAATATGAATCCGAGGGGTTTATTATTGTCTTATTTTGGTGTTAACCTGTATGAATCAAAAACTTAAAATTGAATCTTCATCATCTTTCCACCGAACACATGCTCACAGTTTTTCATAATGCAGTGTAAATACCTGGTGAAAAATAAAAATATGACATTTCATTCATATAATATTAATTAAACGTATTAATTGTGTCAACTCTTGAATTAGTCATATTTAATAATAAGCCGACTCAACCCACTTCAAATCATTTTCAGGTTTGTGTTGAGAAATAATTAATCCTAACATATTAATTTTGTATTGTGCACGAATAGTGCTGTCGTATCTCGTTGAAAATTACCCGTACTTCCAAGTTCAATAATTATGAAAGTTTTACATTTAATTGTTAATAATAACATGACAAGAACGAACTGTAAATCCAGATGTCCTGAGTTTAAATTTTGACAATCCCTTGGAGTCAAGTCATGAGAGACTTATCTTTCATAAATATCCTAGTTCAGGCGTAGATAGTCCACATTTGATTGAACCGGAAAAGAGATTAATCAAAATGCGTATAAGCCGGTCTAGACACCTATGACCGTTGAACCAAAAAAATAATATCATGACAATAACGTGATTTCCACAAAGTTTTAAAATTTGTATTGAAATTGTTCATGAACAGTACAAATCAACACTGCCCATGACAAAGAATATATTGTTCCTGACCTGTACTCCAATGGAGGCTCCTAGCCTGGAATTCTTGATGGCTGCAGGATCACTTTCACTTCCTTCCTTACTTGGCCTTCTTAAATATAACAAAACTGGATTTCTTTGCGTCTCTGTACAATCAACCAACTGGATTTCCAACAACTCCGAGCAGTTTCAGATGGGGACAATACTAGTCAGAACTGCTATTCACCTAAATTGGAGAACGTTAACTGCCGGTAAATTAACAACTTATCATCGGTTTCATCGAAATCAAGTCCATCCTCTCCATAATCCATTTCAACAATGGTTCTATCATCATGATGAAGCTGCTCTTCTTCTTCTTCTCTAAAATGACCTTGTGTATTTTGTCCTCGTGTAGGCGAGGTGTCCAATTCTACCAGTTGCAGCTCTGAGTCTTTAAGAGCTTCCATCCGGGCACGTTCCCTGTCTCTTGGATAGGTGCAATAGAGGAAAGAGTAGATAAAGCAACAAAGCGCCATTGGAATCCCAATTGCTGTATAAAGTGCCTTGGCCAATGATGCAGCATTCTCTGTCTGTTCCAATATCTTCAGATCCTTCGGGAACTGGTTCATAACCATAAACATGTTGAGCTAGCAGTCCAACTACAGGGGGAGCGAATGAAGAAAATATGGACTCAAACGATCTATCCAAAGCATAAATACTTGTTCGGGATTTTTCAGGTACAATCTCTGCAAAAATTGGACTGTATACACCATATCAAGAAGATATTAGAATTGTAAATACATCCTTTTTTGAATTAAATTACTTTTCCTTGCATCCTAATTTATTTTCTTCAATAATTAATAAACAATTACTACAGATGCACTTGTGTTCCGAGGAAGTATGTGAATTCTTTACCGCTCCCTTTCAGGCCGGCAGAAGATACTCCTCAAGCTTAATAGCTCGTGATTTAATTCTTCTCTATATATTGATAATATCATCTCAGGATCAATAATACTAACAAAGCCTCTTTGCATATTACTGACACCACCCACCCATGACCCAACGAGAGCCAAAGGAAAAATAAAAAAACCTTTCCTTTGAGGCATGGGCAGGAGCCTTGTGACTTAAGTATCAAACCATATCATTATTTTGGGTCACGTACACCTTATATTCTAAGCACCCCGCACTCAATTTGACAAGTGATAGTACATGTGACTTGTAAACACAAAGCGAGCAAAGCACATGAAAATATAGAGGGTGCGTATAGAATCTTTACTTGTTTGTAGCTGGAGCATTCCAAGATATGCAAAACCCTGTAATGAACAAGAAGAAAACATGCACGAACATTGTGGATGGATCATCCGGTAAAGCCAACAGAAGTATTGCAGCAAGAGGGATGGCTGATGCGGAGCTTATCTGCGACAGAATAATCCTGCCAGAATTTGGTAGACGCTTGGATAGAGTGTCCCCCATTTTACCTCACAAACAGCCCTCCAAGCGAACCAGCAAGCACAAACATGCCTATGAGGAAGGCAGTCTTCTTATGAGAGAATCCAGTAAGCTCTAACCACATGAGTGCAAATGACAAAGCTGACCAGGGGAATGAACCAGAGACACCCTGAGCCACAATAATCTGGAAGGAGTGAATCTTGATCACTGATTTTGCTTCCTGAACAAGGTCTTTCACTTCTGACAAGAAGGATTTTCTTGTAACTTGAGCACGAGCTTTCACACCACCATCAGAAAAGTGTGGATCATTAGCAAAGACTCGACTAGAATGCCCACAATGACACTGATAATCCCAACAAGATGAAAGGAATTCTCCAACCGGATATACCCATAAATGTGGTTGGAGCTAACAATAAAGACAAGAGTCCTCCAATGATTGAGCCAAGGTTGCTGGTTAGCTGTAGCCATCCAAAAGCCATACCACAGTTGTTGTCATCCGTTGAGTCAGCTACAAGGGACTGAATTGCAGGTGCAACTATGGCAAGGCCAACCCCATTCAAAGCTCTTGATACTGCAACCTAAGCAGCACGAGCTGAATGACGAGTTTGTAGCAGTTATAACAACTATAGTCTCTTTTTACATTGCTAAAAAGTTCCAAATGCATATATTGGAGGGAAATGTGTAAATATCTTTAAAGAAAATAGGAAGTGGACAACACATAGATTGCAGAAGTGATGACAAGAGCTAGATTTGTTAAGCTAGGGTTTGGTACATTTGTACATATATAAATGATACACAGTCAGTTTTGTTAAGTTGATGATTGTATTATTAGAGTCCCAATACTTTACATGAAATGTTGAATCCTTGTCCTAGTTCAAAAGCTATTGATTTTTTTTATTTTTTATTTTGCTTTGCCAAATCCTTCTAGTTCAAATATTGCATTGTTCATCATTAAAGACCACAAATTCCTTTTGCCAATTAAGCTAAGATGCTGATTCTATCTTCCAGTTAGTACAGGATTTTTCTTTGGGAATATAAATTTCCAGCCTCAAAAGAACATTGTTTTTCCTAGACGAAATTTCAGTTGCTGCGCATGTGACTCTCATCATTTCTGCTAAGAGGGGAATTCTGGCTCCGACAAAAACCATTCAAATGACACTTCAACATATTATTTTTGATTTTAAACTCCATAGACGCAAACAATTAGATTTCTGCAAAATATTGGCAAAATTTAATGAAACATCCTAACCATTTAGGCCATTTATTTGTTTATCTAATGCTTCCCATTAGTTTTGGTATCACATTTCTTTTGGGGCATGTTTGGTTCGGGTACAAACGAATGATGAAATTGAGTAATTGATTCCCATTCAATCTATATAAATGGCCGTAATAAGAGTAATATTTGATCTATCCTTTGTGTAATAAGTTTCGATCAAGATTAGAATAAGGTATAAATCTATAATTGTAATATCGAAGTCATGCTTGGATTAGGTAATAATGTATAGTATTAAATTAAAAATGACAAAATAAATATAGAGGGCGGTATCTGATGGTCAGATATCTACGATTGGTATATCTTTGAAAGCTCGGATGGAGATAATAAACAGGTTCCTCGAGGGCTAATTAAGCCACTGTAGTACAAGCCAGAAGAACTGGAGCTTTCCAGAATGTGTACTTTTTATACGAGGGTATGGACCTAGGTTTACTGGGATAATAAAGTCATTGTGTTTTTAATACTGAAACTATTAAAAATAATACGACTTACTACATGGTATTCATCAATAACTAATATTAAGTGTTAAATGATAATAATGAACCGGGTCACTATAACTCAATTCAAACTTGGTATTACATCATCAATGGATTAAATAAATCCAATCCAATCTCTTAATACCTAAACCAAATATACTTATACTGTCAATTAGCGCAAAATTATAGTTTTATGATTTCGCATATAATCTAATTCCCCTTTCCTATTTCCATTCTTCAAATTGTCTTCTAATATCAGTTGCCCAGGATGATAAACTTGTCCTACCACTATCTTACCATAGCCTATACTGCTATACTCAATCTCGAAGTCTATTAGTAAAAACAACAGCAATTGAATTCAATCTTGTCAAGAATAATTAAAATGACATCCAACCCAAATACCCACAAGGAAAAAAAAAAAATCAGCTAGGCAAGTGAATTTGGAAATCAATCCAACACCACCAAACATTTATATAATCACACAATAAATCAAAACATAACTAAAATTTCCACGATTCCAAAGCCCAAAATTCAAATTGAAGAAAAAATGGATTGGTGCTGGATTGACCTGAAAGAAGGTGGAGGAGAAGGCGACAAGGAAGGTGGCGGCTGCCCAGAGGAAGGCCCCATAAGCGATGACATGAGCTCGGTTGTGACGCACGGCTAGGTAAGTGGCTAGAGGGTAACACGAGGCCTGAACCATCGAACGGAACAGTGTGAGCGAGCCCAGAGCAGTTGGATCCGTGTGGAGTGCCTCTCCGACTTCCTTGTAAACTTCAGGGAGAAGTGACTCATCGGCTCTTTCCATTATTCCGGCAAGGTTCACCAGAATCAATGTCGCCGTCTCTGACCTCATTTTCTTCCAATTCGTTTGAAAGATTCAGAGGAAACAGAGTAGGGCTTTGTAGCGTTAAGGCGTTAATCCCTAAATGCGTAGTGTCCTCTCTCTCTCTCTCTCTCTCTCTCTCACACACACACACACACACAACACACGGTTGTAGGTGGTTGAAAATTGAAAGGGAGGGAGCAGCTGAGTCAAAACTCAAAAATGCATAGAGCGTGTTTGACTAATCATGCATGATTCGGTCCCACTTACGTTAGTAAGTTGTAATTAAGGAATATGACTTAGATACCAAAGCCATGGGGGATTTTAAAGTTGCTGGTTTAAACTTCATCATCCCTCTATAATACTGTCGCCTTTATAATACTGCCCAAAAAAAAAAAAAGTTTATAATTTTTATAATTCATTGTATTTGATGAGTTCGAATTTGATTGAGTCAAGCCCAATTTAAATAAATCAAAAAAGCCCAAAGAAGAGTCCAACTGAATTTAGATCGACCCATCAAGAAGAAATCTGAAAGGACATCAAGAGACACATGCCCAAAAGAGCCAAGAGGCCAGCATCAAGGATCCCCCAAAGGAAGGACATCGCCCATATGGTCTCCAAGTACGCGCCGCCTATGGCTTGCCCTCATGTGCCTCTTCCCCCTTTTTCACTCTAATGCAAGTCTAAGTTCAGCCCAATTTAAGTTCAAATTCAAGATCAGGATCAATCCAGCTTAGGATTATTTTTCGACGGAATAGGGACACGAGCGAGAGAATATCGGGATACAAAGATTTAATCTTACTAAAATTGTACTTACCAAAATGATAGAAACCCCATTTCTCACGTCACTGCCTCATTGCATTGGTAAACCCATATAATGTGAGTCCACTGCACATAAAGAGCATGCTTTCATGACCTTAAGACCTCTGCAAAATCTCTACACATACTACATCTTCTTACACACATTGTTCTCTCTCTCTCCCTCTAAGCACTGTTATACTCCTAGAGAATACTCTCTCTGGTGACTTCATTTATAAATAAAAGACTCAAGTCACCGCTGCCGTTCTCGAGAGTAGCATAGGTCACCCGGACCGAACCACTGTTAATCTCTGTGTTGATTGTCTATCTACTACTTTTGCTCTTAATTGTCATTGAATACTTATTAATTGCTCATTAATTACACTAGTTACATATTCTTGACTATTGATTTTGTCCAATACTGATTTGTGCATCATCAGTATTGTTAAAAAAAAAAAAATTCACTGTATAAATTTTTGGAATTCGATTATAAGCTAAAATGTTAAGATCGATTTAGTTTGATCTTATAAAAATAATGACTTTTGAGAATATCTTATAATTTTGTAATTTAAGAGTTTGCGATTAATCCTAACAATTTTAAGTCCAATAATAAAACTATTAGTATCAATCGCAAATGTTTATGATTGATTGCAAAAACATTAAAAATCAAAAATGATTCTCCAAAATTATATAAAAAATTTATATGACGTTTCAATACCCAAGCATTCTCCCTAATTAAGAAGTTGTTTGCATTTCAATAGGAAAGTGTGGTTAGGTTTATGTTTTATCTATGGACATGAGGTGGAAGTTTTGATTGCTTTAAAAGCTTTACTCTTTGGTTGATTTGTATTTTTCCCAGCAATTGTCAACAATAGGACTTCGACTTCAAAAAATAAGGAATTTTTTGCTTTTTTCTTTTTGACTTGACTACGGTGTTAGGAAAAAAAACGTTGTACCATATCTCTAAATTTTATAATTTTAATGACTGTTTTTATAATTTTTTAGGTCATTTCAAAATAAAAAAATTTACAATTTTTGTGGGTGATCACTTTTGTGATAATCGGTGGTCATCATCCATCACAACTATTACAATCGGTTGTCACTTTTGTGATAATCGGTTGTCGTCATCCATCACTTTTTAAGCTGCCACAATTATAATCGATTGTCATCATCTATCACAACTATCACTGTCTCCCTTCACCACCACTGTCGCCCACCATCACTATCTCTGCTCGCCCCCCACTATAACCAGTGCTTAAATTTTTTTATTCCTCCTCTATTTTTGTAATTTAATTTTAAATGTGAATGCAAATATATTTATTGTTAACTATTTTTTTTACTACTTCGTGCCTTCAGGCACAAGAAATGACTAGTTCATAAAAATAATAAAATGACAATATAATACCTAAATATTTTTTTTTTCACTACTATAATCTTGTCCTTCTCTTTTTTGGTTAAAGTACAAATACTCGATTTTATTTGCAAAATAATGTTTTCCCCAAATATTCCAATGTTGTTAGACACTATTTATAATAAGGTGAGCCCTTTTGTTTTATTTGTTCAACAGGGAGGATGTTTGGATCAGGTTATGTGTATTTTGACTAATTTTATTTTCAGTTCAGTTAAAGATAAGTCATTCACACCTTATGACCTAGCTTCCAAAAGAATTGTCAAAATTTGAATTCAGGATGTCTGAATTTACATTTTATCTTTGTTACCACTTGATTTACTATCGCTAGAGACCGACTTACGTCAAGCTAANACTATTACAATCGGTTGTCACTTTTGTGATAATCGGTTGTCGTCATCCATCACTTTTGTAGCTGCCACAATTATAATCGATTGTCATCATCTATCACAACTATCACTGTCTCCCTCCACCACCACTGTCGCCCACCATCACTATCTCTGCTCGCCCCCCACTATAACCAATGTTTAAATTCTTTTATTCCTCCTCTATCTTTGTAATTTAATTTTAAATGTGAATGTAAATATATTTATTGTTAACTATTTTTTTTACTACTTCGTGCCTTCAGGCACAAGAAATGACTAATTCATAAAAATAATAAAATGACAATATAATACCTAAATATTTTTTTTTTCACTACTATAATCTTGTCCTTCTCTTTTTTGGTTAGTTAAAGTACAAATACTCGATCTTATTTGTAAAATAATGTTTTCCTCAACTATTCCAATGTTGTTAGACACTATTTATAATAAGGTGAGCCCTTCTGTTTTATTTGTTCAACAGGAAGGATGTTTGGATCAGGTTATGTGTATTTTGACTAATTTTATTTTCGGTCCAGTTAAAGATAAGTCATCCACACCTTATGACCTAGCTTCCAAAAGAATTGTCAAAATTTGAATTCAAGATGTCTGAATTTACATTTTATTTTTGTTACCACTTGATTTACTATCGCTAGAGACCGACTTACGTCAAGCTAACCCTTTTTTTTTTTGCTAGTAAAAAAAGGGGTGAGAACAAAAGAGAACACTCCAATACCACCTCAATAGGGCCTTACTGGTGAGATTATGAGGTCCCTAATCATACCCGTTACTCCTCTGAAAAATGAATCTACTAGACTAGTGTAATTGTTAACCATCAAACTTCAAACTCTACACTTAACCTCCTCCGATTCACGAATTCAAATTATGTACAATCCTTCATACATCACGCACGTTTGATGATTCGATGTGTTTTACAAAAGTTAAACTTAGGATTTCGAAATAATTTTCACTTAAAATTTTTCAGGCAGTATATTCCAGCCCAAATTGTTCTAACTTGGAAACACTTTCTTGATTAAGTGGTCGTCCAAACTGAATTGGGCCGAAAATACATCCAAGAATTTAGGCCCATCCATGTTGTAGGCCCAGTTCAATGAGTTGGCTCAAACTCCTAGTCCAAATGAAGTGGGCCTAAAATACATCCTAGAATTTAGGCCGAACATGTTATAGGGCCAGTTATGCTCCAATGAGTTAGCCCAAACTCCTAACATCTTCTTTATCCTACACAATAATTTACAATGGTGAGGATAGAATAAGAAGCTAGAAGACTTTAGATGAATATCTACTTCCATGTAAGCATGTCAATAGATCAAATTTGATCGAAAATAATCTTAATTTGAATCAGATTAATCATATATAGTTTGATATTTTTTTACCGATATCCAACTCTGTTATATCAAATTTAATCAAATTCAAATCTGTTATTTTTTATGCGGTTTGTTAAAATGTAATCGTTAATAGAGTAATGGAATATGAAAAGACAAATTAAAAAGGCTATTTGAGGTTGAATTAGTGTGATATGTATCTAAATCTCTCTGACATTCAATTCAATTCTTTCTAAGTCTTCTAGTTTAGGGTAGAAAATAAAATGGTATACTAAAATGGCACTTGGAAGCTCATGAGTTCGAGTCGCAGAAATAATTTTTTTATAGGAGTAAGACTATTTAACACTCGATACGTCATTTTAGAATGACATGAATATGTTGTCATGGGAATGGCATGAGAGTATTCTAAGCTCAAGAGAATCTGTGGCCATCAAACCATGTTTAGGATGCTTGTATCCTCCAAGACAAGGGCCTCGTATAAATGGAAGACCACTCAAAAGAAGTAACACCTATCTTATACACACGCAGCATGACAGCACCTACCTGTTTAATTTTTTATGTACAAAGAGATTCTGCTTGATGATGTTTGGGGTTGGAAGGATTTCCTCTGGCCATGAAGAGTCTTAAAAGACGTCAATAACCAATGTTCAACTATGGTACTAAAAATTAATTGTTCGGTATAATTTTTTTTATTACTTTATCAATTTTCAATTAATTGTTACAAATTATGCTAAAAGGACTTAAAATTATGTCACATGTAGGAGACAATTAATGAACTCACGTGAGCATGATGGGACAAATCACGTGGGAAGCAATAAAATAGAAGTCGAACCGAACAATGAAAATTTTGTTCATAATACTGAGTCGATTCATAGATAGCTCAGTAGTAGGAGTAAGAGTTCGGTTTCGACAAGGTCAAGCTCTACTCGGGACAACCTTAAACTGAGTCATGAGGAAGTGCCTGCAATCAAGGGATTTAAATATAACAAACAAGCACAATCATCGATTCGGAAGGAACTAGGTAACAAAAGAAGGATCTGGAGAGATTTTAGCAATCCCTAACAAACATCTCATATTGATAGGATGTGTGTCACCTTGTGTTATCAGCAATGGGAACACTAATAAGAAGAGTGACACTATAAAAAGGACCAAAGATATACAGTAAAAAGTCCACTCAACTTTTTTTGCATCGACATTTCTTTTATATTTTTATTGACTTAAGTATCGGAGTGTTTTCGATTAAATACTACGATGTTAAGCAGTTGCTCGTTAGCAAAATTCAGTAATCCATATCCATTTACCAACGAAAGAGATAAATACATTTTCACCGCTTTACGCATGCAAACTGAAATCAATGTCTACAGATCAATTTTGTCATGGTACCGTAGCCTTACCGGTAATAGGATATGGATATGGTAGTGAAAAATTGCAACAAAAAAAAAAAAAAAATTACTAGAGGCAATTCAAAATTTTGTGATCAATATCTGCAAGTTTAACCAAAATTAAAGAATATTTGCAAGTTTAACTGAGATCAAAGTTGTTCGAATCTTGACAATCTCTTGGACTAGTCACGAGAAATTTATTTCTCAAGAATACTCTAATTTCAGCGTGGATGACTGCCTTTGACAAAACCAGAAACAGAATTAGTCGAGGTACACGTCAATTGATCTAAACACTCTCACTATTGAACCAAAAAATAATAATAAAAAAAATAAAAAATGCTCATTTACATGTATTATAAAATAAACAAGGTAATGTATATAACTTATAGCTAAAAGAGTAGTGATTCAGGTTATTTGTTCAAAACATAAGTCTACGAATCATCACTACAACTATGATAACAGCCACCAAACCTCCTAATTTTCTGTAATCCTCATGGTAATTTGTGTGCTGTTTATTTCTGCAAAACAAGCCTAATCACAAGGACATATCCATGAATCCACCATGCACCTTCATCCCTAGAGGAAACATTCTCCAAACCCTTCTCTCCTTCTCTCCATTTCGTAGGGACTATATCTTCTCATGGCCTGGAAATCCACCAAGGTTCGTATTGACATTTTCATGGCTCAGACCCAACTCATCAAGACAAGGAATGCTTGAATTTTCCTGAGACTTAGTGCCAAAAATGGCTGCATTGGCTAATGGGTGCTTAAGTAACGGAGGAAGAGAAGAAGACTGTAAAAGAGACTGGAATGTGAGAATTTGGTTTTGCATATTCAAAAAGTTTGGGGTCTCTTTGGAAATTCCAATATTAGAGGGTAGTTGGTAGGTTGTTGAATTCAAACTACTGGAATTACCAGTAATAGAGGTGGTAATAGAATTGGTTGTTTCAGGAGTAGCATCAATCATACTGGAGTTCCACAATGGCGGAGATGAAAGAGAAAGTACATATGGTGAGAGCTGAACCTTTTTTAAATTCCCAGACCACGTTGGTGAGCTTGGGCCAAAAAGATCACTCCGGCGAGAATACGGTGACGCCGAGGATGGAGCAGTGGGAATTCCGGTGAATTGTTGCACCATTTGCCGGAAATTCGATGTGTCAGTGGTGAGGACTGTGGTTGGTGCTCGCCTAGAAGCTCTGGTTCGCTTCTTCGTGTTCCTGACAACGTGGGTTTGCTCGGACGGCGGTGAAGCTTCGGCAGCCTTCCCGACAGCCGATTGCAATGGCGATGATGATAATCCTGTCAAGTTTGGGAAGTCCATGTTATTGGCTTCATATCTAAGGGGTTTGGAGCACTTTAAATTGCGATTGTATAAGGAATTTGCGTCTGGGTTTGGTGGTGATTGCGAGAAGGCATCAACAGTATGTGGTGGTGGATCAAACAAAGTGGGTGGTTGACGGTGGAGGTGAGGAAGAGATTGCGGCGGCGGTGGGTGGCTTGAAGGTTTCAAGAAAGGGGAGATCGACTCTGCCCTGGAATCATACTCTTCATCACCACCACTTGATGATTGCATACCACCACTATTACCCGAATCCATGGCTTTGTGTTCAGAAAAAGGAAGAAAAGAAGTCCAATAAAACCTGGTTAAATCAGGAGAGAGAGAGAGAGAGAATTACAAAGATTGAAGACAGAAAGAAAGAGAATCTGAAACCATCGAGAGTATTATGAAACAACCCGTGAAGAAAGTGAAGAGATTTCTTCCAGAAAAGGTTTAGAAAATGTACCCTTATCTTGGATCTTAAAATGGAGTCGGAGATCTCCCTCTCTCTCTCTCTCTCTCTCTCTGACCAAAAGTATCCGTACAGGAATAGCAGGAACGAGTGAATAAGATCCAAGGAGACAGATTTTGGCAGTCAAGATTGATGGTTTTGGTCTTCTGGTTGTGTTTGTAAGTTTGTATTGCTCTCTATGTGATCTTCCGCTAGGATTTAGCTAGGGGTGTAAATTGGAGGGATGAATCCGAATTCAACCCGGAAAAAATAAGATTTGACTTGATTTTTTAATATTTGGGTCGGTTATGAGTTAAAAAATATCAATTCAAATTAAATTTAGACAATGTCTAGAGTTATGGAATTCAACTCGAATATTAAATCAAATTCAGCTCTAATATTTGACTATTATTATAATTATGTTAATTTGGCTATTATGGTTATTATGTCTTTAAGTTAAGAAAAGTGTAATTTAGTTTTTGTTCAATATTTTTTTATATTTTAAAAATTATGATCTTTATGTTAAACATTTGATTGAAGTTGTTAATTGTTATTTCATGTGAATACTATGTAATATGTATCAGATTTAAAATAACATGCTGATTTTGAGTCTAAACAAATTTAATCCGAATTTAAACTCAAAATATGTAACGCCCCAAAAACCCCCGTGGGTGACATTACATTCTAAAAACCATTTACCGTATGAGAGCATTAAGTAAAATTCATCACGACGAAAGTTTCATTCATCAACCATTCATATTTTAACAAAATTTGGGCAGAGTCTCCTTTGTACGGGGAGCTCTACCCAAAACACAACCTGTACAATTATATTACAATTGACCACACCGGGTCCACATATGCATAACTATTGACCACACCGGGTCCATTTTTCCATCATAAAATAAACTTGCATTCATCATATGTCATATCCACACTATCATCCCAAATTAATAGGTCTAATCTTGGCCTTTACATCTCCAAAATGTAATAATATAACGCAGCGGAAATAACAGAAATGAACTAGAGTTCAAAAGGATATTCTAAGCATAATCTAGTCTAGAACAAAATAAAAGTGTCGCTCTAAGCGTCCACCTCGGGATCCACAT